TCCCAAAGAAGTATTTACTTTTCCATCTCTCTAATAATATATAGATGTTTTGAATTTCTGTGAATAATGAACTTGATAATGCATATCAAGTTGAATCTCTTTACTTGTAGCTATTGCCAATCTTCTGATAATTAAAAAAAAGAATTTGATATTCGACCATTTTAATATTTAGTTGATGTTAAAACTGGACAACCTAAGTCATTGTATGTTTCTTCTCTTGACTTACCTCTGGTCGATACTTCTTTTGTGTGAAGTGAAACAACCTTCGAAAATAAAATTTCTAAGAAGGCCAACTACGAATGAGGATTGTAATATTTGAAACTGTGAAATCAAAATGACACAGAAATTGGATAATTTGAGTTGTCAATGCTCGTCAGCTGATTTCGCCTAATGGTCCTTCAAAAAGTACTAAGACTTGGGAAAAATGATTTAAAAATTTTTGAACAACTGTTCTCAACACTGTATAATTTCGAAATTAAGGCTCTCCATCCATGTAATCGAATCACTGAACATTAAGTTTGTTAACAGAAGGAGTACTCTGACATTAAACAGTTGATAGATTTAAAGATTTATTCTCGCTTTTCATGATGATATTTTTTTTACGAAATAACAAATGGTCATATTTGTAGTGATTTATGAAATATGTTGAAAGATTATAACAGTAAGAATGCATATTAAATGATACTTACAGCTTACCACAGTCTCATTTTATTTCAATGTCAATGTCCTGAAAATTTCATTTCAAGTAAAAGTAATCAAGTGAATCATTCTCTATATGGTAAACCATTTATGTGTTATTAGAAATTTTTTCAAGTGAATTGTTTGTTTATAATATTCTCCCTGAAAAGTATTAAAATTTCACTGAATATCTTTTTTAATTAAATGAATATTACTAGTTGATAAATAATAATGACCTACATTATGTGAGATTAAGCGATCTCAATTATTTTTGTCTTTATTATTACCTATTTTTCACCGATATAATTGACTTTTGGTTAATCCCGGTATACTGAAACAGTAAATAAATAAAAAAACATAAGCCTTACTTATTTTCTAAAATTGGTTTAATTTGCCTAAAGGCTTAATTGTATAAATTTACTCTGTATGTTAAGCTTTGCATTTATGCAAATATACAGCTTATTCGGGTTTGATTTCAAGGCCTATGATTCTTTTCGTTTTTTATTATGTATCTTTCAGGTTCATTAATAAATCTCTGAAAGTATATTTATTACAAGTATATATTGTCATATTGAAATGAAAATTATAGATAACTAATAAACTGCTTTTTTATTTTGTTTCTCAGTAAATTAAGTCATATAAATATAATTATGACAAGTAAATAAGATAAAAAGCCTAACATTTATGTACGAAAAAAAAAAAAGAATTGAACTTTAATTCAAAGTTTAATATGATAAAAAGCAATATTGAAGTTAACATTCAATAGATTGAATTCCTTTTATCAGGTCACTAGATAATAATTATAATGGAAATTTTAAATACTGAAATAAATGACAAATTGCTTTGATAGCTAGAAAAAAATGATGAAACAATTCAGTTGAAAATTATCAAGGATTAAAATTTTATAATATCAAGGTTATATTTGTTCCATAAATAATATGAACATCATATTTATCATAAATAATGATGAACAATTTGAGATTGTTGAATGGATTGTTTACAGACCTCTGATAATAGTTTCTCTTACGTTATGCCGATACTTAGTAAGATGGGTTTTTCACTCTGTTAATTAAAACTTATTCTGTTTTGTGAATGACTAGTCTGTCATGATCTCAAATGGAATTGTAGTATATAGTCAGTAGAGGTTAGCGACAATTCAATACTAGTCTTTATTCATGATGAGGTAAATCTAGTGGCGTAAACGTTTCGTATAATTAGGAAATTAAGTTAATTAAAGGAAGGTAGGTGTTTCAAATGTTTCAGAACCTAGATGCAAGAACTATTAGACCGTATCTGATATTGTAAACCGTTATGATGGCTCCCAGGAGCCGCCATGTGCTCTCAAGAAGCAGGAGAGTTTCCAACTGAACACAACTCGATAAGAGTTTTAGAATTCAGTGTAGCATAAGGTGATTAGATGATGGCATAACATCTCTACGTGCGGATCGGATGATTTTAATGGTGTTTCCACTACATACAGTAGAACTGTCTTGGCGTTCGTATTGGAAATTCTGACCCTTGTGTTGACTGCAATACTGTTGGATTTAGTTCCACATGTTCTTAAATCGTAGACGTACTTCCCTCACCTTCCCAATCCGTAAAGGTTTCTAAATCCTTCCAAGCTTCTCCATCAAATGTGATTTGGTTGTTGAATGTTGTGCTGTATCTCAGAATCTTGATTTATCCTTTGCGTATGTTGAGACCTACTGCTGCTGAGGCTGCTACTACACTGGTCGTCTTCTCCTACATTTATTGCTGCGTGTAGGATAGAAGAGGCATATCATCTGCGAAATCTAGATCGTCCAGCTGCATCCTATCTGTCCACTGTATTCTGTTTCACTTGGAATGAGTCTGTGGGCTGTCCTTGGTGCGCGATTTTTAAGTTCAATCCATCAAAAGAATTGCGTATCCTGTTGATCATATTATCAGGCACACCATAGTGTCGAATAACTTTCGATAGTAACATCCTGTACACACTATCAAATGCTTTATCGTAGCCAGTGAAGTTGATGTACAGTGGTAAATTCCATTCAACGAAATGCTCCACCATGATCCATAATGTTGTAGTTTGGTTGGTACATGACCGATCCTTAAGGAATCCAGCCTGTTGATCTCGAAATCGGTAGCGTAATTAATCTTTCGTCCTGCTCAGAATTTCTGTGTCGAAGTATTTTCTTCGCATTAATAGCAGAGTGATGCCTCCTTAGTTTTCACTCTTGCCAAGATCTCGTTTCTTTGGTATCTTAATGTTCTTCACTTACCCTTCTTGCTTCTAACTCTTGTCGAATACAGCATATACTCTCTAGTACACCTAATTCAACAAAAAATCAATATATAAAATATAGTGCAATGCAGACAAACTCATTTTCACCCAATCTTGTTTTTGACCATCTAAGTTATTAGTTAATGCCTGTAGAAATCATATAAATGCCAATGAAATTTCATTCAATTTTAAAAAGACTTTTTTTGACTGACTAATCTTTTGTTCTGTTTTATTTAAGCACCATTGACATGGTATTCAATTTTTTTTTTATTAATGACTGATGTTTATCTACCATATTAGTTAACTTAGACATGCTTAAATTGTTACTTGGATATGCTGATAATAATTTGTGTGTGAAAATAATTCAATGATCAGTATATTAGTTTTTATCCAGTAAAATAAAGTATAAATGTTTAATTGAGATATCGGATAATTTGCTATCGTAAAAGCAGCATGACTTTTCAGTGACAAACCTAAACGTGATAATTTTATGTCTCTTTTATTTTGAATACGTTTAATGATAAAAATGCTTACGAATTTGAAGTTATAAATGCTCATTGTTGATCTAATACATAAATGACATATTATCAGTCGTTTGATTACAGAATGTAAGTTCTTATCATAAAACAAGAGTGTTATTTGTTGCATGAATCAAGACTCGAATTATGACAGGTTTTATAACTTTTTTAAAATTAATATGGGATTACTTGTCAACGAGTCTGAAATATTCGATGACGATGTGGTATTCAACAATCTACAAACATATTTAAGATAAGAATATCTAAATTTCAAACTCTCCAACAACACTGCTAAGTCCCATGAATAAGAAAACTGTTAAACGCGCTAACTGTTGAATATAAACTAATTTTCACATTGATTAACGTGTTCTTGGATTATTACTGGCATTTAAAGTCAGTTTTATCAAAGTAAAAGTCTCCGTAACCACAACAAACCTACCAACACTTAAGCCATATATCTAAGTGTAATGTTTCGTTTTCTTTCCTAGAACATATATACTTGTCTAGTAATAACGAAAAATGCATACTCTAACATCCAGTATTCATTGGTTTATGTGTTTGCATAATTTAGTGATTTCAGAGTATAAGTTTAAATTAATTAATTATTTATCGAACTTCCAACTATTGTATCTCACATTTCTTTATATAGTGATACATTTATATTAACATAATTCATGTTTTATTTTGTAAATGATAAAAACATCTGAAATCAAATTTCAAGAAAAAAAAATTAAAGACCTATTCTATTTTTTCATATTATACTCACAAAATTTGACCACATCCTTGTATTGTAAAGCAGCCTATAAATTATTGTAAGTATCCATAAGTTATTCAGTAAGGAGGTGGCTTATTGGTTAAAATATTTGGGTTTCAACTAGTAGATAATAGGTTTGATACCTGTTCCATTTAATTCTGTTTTAACAACCTCACGTTAAGTGTTTCAGAAGTAAGTACATAATCTTCAGTTGTTAGTTGGTAAGTAGTTAAGGTATCTAATGAATGATGATAATTCGGAAAAATTGATTATAATAAGTTTAATTTTTTCCAGTCCGTTCATAAGAACTACCACAAGTCACGGCTTGATGAAAATTTGCTATAACAGTTTACTCATATGTTGGACGATTCTAGATCTTCCCTAAGATCAGATATACACTTGTATGAGGAAATATGAAAATAAATGTCTGTAAAAAGACTAGATAGCTTACTTATTTTAACATGTCTGTGGAATATTGTTGGCGTGTTACTAGATACTTTAACTTAATACAATCAGCAATTAATAATCAGACTTCTGTTCTGTTAAATTTAATTTGTTGATAAGAGCAAATTTATATGAAAATCTGCACTGACACTTAGTATTCATACATGAACGACAACGAATTTAGTCAGCATTCAGCATGTAGCTAAGCCCTATGGCCTTATGATGCATCTCAAGCTCATTGCTTCGAATTTAGTAAACAACCACTACAGATGCTGTATTTTGCAATACTGGTTATCATGAAATGAATGAAAACTATTTTAAAACAACAGTTTTTCTCTTTCAGATCCCATTAGATCGCGAAAAAATTGGGAGCGTGACATTAGTTGTTCTGGTGACAGATTCAGTTTCTCCGCCAATATTTACAGCTACGACAACGGTATCTATTGAAATATTAGATGAGAATGACAATGCTCCAGTTTTCACTAATCCTTCTGTAAGATCAGCTGAATCATCTAAGGAAGACAACGAAAAATCGGCATTCACAGTTATGGAAAATGCACCACGTTTTACACAGCTAAGCCAAAGATTAGAAGCTAGAGATCCTGATCAGGTAAATGAATAATTTCGTTTTATTGTTACTGAATATATAATTATCCTGCAAGTAGTTTCTCCTCAGAAGATTTACAAATCTTAGTTGTGTTCTTACGTTAACCAGTACCGCAGATGTCCTTTTTACAACTAATATGCAACAGAAACAGAAGACTTGCCTAGTCTTTGCTCGAACAACGGCCCAATACTAACTTGCCGTCATGGAAAATGAAGAACCAAGACCAATAACCCCCACCGGTCAAAGACTGGTTACCGTATTTCAGAGATTCGTTTATTTACGCAAACCCAGACTATGTTCCACCAATAAATGGAAATCAAAAACGATCACGAATAAGGCAAAGGTGGCCGTGAGTGGTGGAGACTGCGAAAAGTGAACTAGCAGCTAGCTGTCAGAATCATAAGATATAAATCACTGTACGATACAGATTGATGAGTTATGCACTGTTTTTTGTCTCTACATCCAGCTTCTTTTTCTAAAGTCATTTGGTTGGCTAAGTGCGCTGTTTATAGGGATCTTGTTTTTCTCTTGTAAAAATACTGAGGTTTACTGATGCAGAGGCTGCTACCAAACTGGACTTCTTCACCTGCATTTGTTGTTGTGTATGAGAGTTAACTGTATTTTGTCATTCCACTGAGATGCTCACAGTTCCAACTACTAGAAGAAGGAGATGGGGTGGCAGTAAACAGCCTTGTCTGACACCAGGTTAGTGTAATCTGCCGTAAGAATTCCGTATGACGTTGACAATGTCGGTATTCCAATGTCGAATTATATTTTCCGGTCTGTTGCTTCCTGTCCTTACTCTCAAATCTTACTGAAGATACTGTGGAGCACCTTTGCAATTACTTCTATATCTGACCTCAGTGTCACAGCTGGCATGTTGCCTGACCCCACTACTTTGATTTGTCCATTGGCCAAGCTGATTTCTTCAGTGGTTGGTAGAGTAACATCTAAAGTAATATCTGTACATATTTCGCCAATTCGCTATAATGCTGTTCTTCACTCACTTGTTCAAATCTGTGTATTCAGCTTGTATCTTGACTTTTTCTGCTCCTGTTCGGCTTATAGTGATTACTGTCTAGTTGTTCTCCCTTTCTTCAATCTTATCCAAAGTATCAACAGTGATGCCTTCATTGTGATGGTGCCTCTTGAGGTCTAAAACCTCCTGACACGTTCAAGCTATTATCCTTTGTTGATGCAGATGTAACCGATTCGGTTCACTAGAGTGTGATCCGGATGAAACTGATGTAGCTTTGTGTATGCGTTTGTGAGGGAAAATGGTACCACGTGCGATCCTTCTCTCGAAGGCAAAACGATTTGCAAATTTTTCGACATTTTTGTTCCTTGCTCTTAGTCCATATCACCTGATGATATGCTCATATCGGGTATTTTCCATTCTAACCTAGCTGTTGAACTCACCCAGCAGAATGACCAGTTGCCTTGCTGGGCGTTTCTCGATGATCGATTACAGCCTCTCATAAAAATGATCTTTATCATCTTCGTTGTTATCACTGGAAGATGCATAACCTTGGGTGAAATTCATTGTAATTCCTTCCTTCTTTGTTTTGAACGATGCTTTGATGAGCCTGAGTCTGTTAGATTTCCATCGTATGAGTGCTTTTCGTGTTCCTTAGGACAGCACCAGTGTGAATCCTTGTGTGCTCAAAATATCTTCTTCATGATCAGAGGACGACAGCACCTCTACTGAGGTTAGTCTTTTCTGTCCATCTTATGTCCCATATGTTTCATTTATCCCGAGCACCATCAGGCTATATCTTTCCCGAAGAATCATATCATCAACAATTTTTTTGAGTGAATTTAAAAAATAAGATACTTTTTGTTACGGTTACTTTTGTAGTCAGATCTAAATTATTGATAACTAGACTGACAATGTCTCTTCGATTTGATTTCAGGGTGATAATGGACGGGTTCAATTTTCTTTGCTAGCTACATATGCTCTTACGAAGTCATCAAGACGAAATCAATTTATTGGTTCGTTACCAAATATGTTGACTGGTTTTGAGCATTTCAATGACGGTCCAGAATCGGATCTCAATATTGATGCAGGTATGACACGTCACGTGGTCGATCAGCCGATATTCCGAATTACACCTAATGGAGTAATTGAAACGTTAACCGAGTTAGACAGAGAAACAGTGCCTGTATACATACTTAAAGTTGGGGTTCGCGATCGTGGAGCTCAGCCACTTGCTAGTACCACAATGTTAAGGATAAACGTAAAAGACGCGAATGACAATGCTCCCGTTTGGGTTTTCCCCACACCTGTAGACAGAACAATTAATCTAACAACTGCAATGAAACCTGGAAGTTTGGCTGGCAGGCTAAGAGCAGAAGATGCAGACTCTTTCGAAGCAGGGAGAGTTGAATACCTGTTCCTTGGACCCCGAGGTGAAACAATCGATGGTATCACTTTAGAGGAAGGTCTTCTTAATGTCCTGAACCCTCCTAAATCAACAGTAACTAAAACTGTAAAAGCTTCACAAAAGCTTCACTCAAACCCAGAGGACTTAAAAGGATATCGCGCTGGACCATTATATTTAAATGGGACTACCGGTGAAATATGGGTTGCTCAAACACTGACTTCGGGAACAATAAATCTGCACCTACGCGCAGAAGATCAGGGAACTCCCCGTTCCCATACAGATGCATGGTTAACTATAAACGTTTTTATAGATCCGAGTGAAGGTATTGGATTTCTAAGTTTTGGCGGGGATGGTACATTGAACGTTACTATAATTTTGGCTATGATTACTGTGACAGCCATTATATCACTGTTTCTAATTATTGGAATAGTTTGTGTTCGGCGACGACCAACTAGATATGCTTTGGCTCGTAATGTCAGTGGGAATGATGGGGCAGTTTCGCCTGGAAATGTAGCCACAACCTTTTCTATGGATGTTGCTAAAGAAAACATGTCAACAAATACCAATGGCGGTTGGTCTTCACCTGTAGTGACCTATGGTGCAAACCATTTTATACCTGGACAAGCCAATGGAGGAGGCTCGATTATGGAAGATGGTCAGATGTTTACGGCGCTATATGGGCATGGAGGAGTTATGGGATACGGAGCTGTCATGTCTCCAAGCGATACAGCAAGTATGATTTATGTACCACAAGCTCAAACAACACCAAATATGATCGGGTCCATTGGAGGTTCAATGACACCAGTACCAGTTGACCTTACATCAACAGGTCCAGATTATTCTTCGCGAAACCACATGCATACATTTGGAGTAAGCAGTATATGTGTTCATTAAAGTTAACTATTTGATAATAACTTAGTTTGCCTTACATTTATGGTTTAAGTAGCTATATTATGCTGGCTGTTACTTATATAAATGTTTCTATAGAAGTTATACTGGCGAAGATTCAGGAATAAAAGTTCTGAACTATTTTGATTTAATTACATCCAAACATACAAATAAAGTAGGGTAAAGAGCACTTCCATTCGCGAATATATCCGTTAATAATAAATATGACTATATCTAAAGAAAAGTAAGTTATATTTGTTCAGTTAATTAGCTGCATTAAGCTCCTATTTGAATTTCAATAAACAGGGTGCTTCTGCTACTTTGTATCTACTTCTTAGTTATCTACACTCACTACTCAGATATCTACCCATAATTTCCCAACAATAATTCGCTGATATTATGGAAAAAAATAGTAAAGTCGGTAGCCATAACACTCAATCGTTTTTATCAAAAATATCCTCTACAGGTCATATTATAATGAGGTGCAAAAATTTAATCCTGTCTTGGTAAGTGAAACAAAAAGTTACCATTTTAAAAAGTTTAGTTTGCGCTTGTATAGAAGTTTAAAAACCATGAAAATGAAAGAAATCAGTGGACCTTTACAACTATCAAATTATGTATGAGCTGTTGAATTGGTTAGATTTATCTGAATAACCGCTCTAGCTGGTAACCGTTATATAGCTTCTGAATGAATAAAATTACAAGTTGAAAAGATGCAGTTGAGCATTATTTATAGTATTCATTTGTGACAAGTTTATCTGAATTCATTTTTTCGTGCACAGACCCACGGCAACATTAAACAGTTTGGTTTTCGAATTCAATGTAATTTTAAGACATGCTAAACTTCAGATGCTTCAAAAATATCAGCATAACTATGTCGTCTAAAATTAAATTACACTGTCTCGTACTGAAATAAAGATTGATATAGTTATTTAGTGAGACAAAAATCAATAGTACTTGAAAGATTTAAAGAAAACATTGATTCATCATGAAAAAAATAGTATGTAGTTTATCTGATCATATCTCACTGTGTTCACCAGGAACCATAAATAAACAGGGCTAATTACTATGCACAAATAAGAAGTAGTGATTATTAATATCTACTGTTTAAATAGGACTAATTCAAAAATGACCTATATATAGATGCATAGAGATTAAGAATGCAAAATTCGTTGAGTCATTAAAAAGTGATTCGAATTCCACAAAATTATCCATCCAATATCGACTTATCGACTAAATAGTTGTATTTGCTGAAGGATCTGAATGTATCAAGTTTTACCTCATGTGAAGTACGTTTCTTGATGTGTCAGTAAAGTAAAATTTTGGCTTATATAGTAGTCAAATGTCAATGGGTGTACAGAGATTCTTTGTAAAGCATTACATTGACATAATTTGATAATTTTACACCAGTCAGCTAATAAACTGTACTATATATATATATATATATATATATATATATATATATATATGGTGACAGCGAGAGAGAAAAGATTTGACATTTATACTGCATTTCAGTTCAACATTTATTTCTCCAGAAAAAATATGAATTCAGACGCCGATTCGATAGATTGCTGTAAGTGTTTTGCAAATGACGATGTACTTTTGATAGTTATCAGCTAATTTTTCATTAACGAAATCAATAACCAAGAAGCCAGAAACATTTTCTAAGAATTAATTTTATGCCTAGTCCAGATAACATTAGTAGGAAATGAATAAGTTGAAAATCAGTAAATTAAACAATTTACTTACTCTGACTGCTGATTCAAACTGCCTTGTAGTCCGAATAATTTTATATGTTAGTTTATTTTACCATTGGTCTAATCAATGTAAATTACTCAATGATGTATCTAATGTGACCTTGTACTGTTTGAAAAGTGAAGTGACTTATCGTATTACTACATAATAATTTTCGGCAACCACAGATCACATATTTTCTTCTGATATTTCCGCAACTCAAGAGAAACCAAAGTTTTGAAGCGTGGACTTTTATCAGCTTTTTCGTCTATGATGTTTCGTACAATTACTTATGTTTTGTAGTTATAGGGATGTGATGATTGTTGATTTTTATTGAAATCATGAATCGATCATTGTTAGAATACACATTAGAAATCTGACGGCACTCCATGACAATCTCTTACTAATATGGGACTCATCAGCACTGTGCATCCACGAACCCCGATCACAGGAATCGAACTCAAGACACTCTGTCACGTACATGAACGCTTAAACTCTAGACAATCGGCCCAGCATCCAAAGTCTAGTTTCAATCAATCCACAATATTGTTTGACCATCATCCATAGTCTTCTTTGGGTAACTGCCGCATACATGACTCGGATGAACTCCATTGATCACAGCTTCTCACATATCTAGTCAATAATGAACACATGATCATAGCCAATATCTGGTTATGAAGCTTTTTGAGTTTCGTTTAAATCACGAACCAAACAATGTTTACAGATTTCTAATGGTAGTCTAATTTTGATTGATTCTTGCTTTTATTTATACTTACTTTTCCTTGCATCAGTTCATTTGATTATATTTGATGAAGTTACGATGAATCCTCAAAAATGCTAAAAAGAAGATAATTTCTGATTTAGTTCAGTCGATTTTTTATAAAACTTGAACAATGACTTCTGATAGATAGTGAAAAGACGGCTAATAGACTGAAATCTTTAATGGGTTTTGCTCAGAACGATCTTAAAATAAAGTTTACACATTTCTCTATGTAAGCCATGATGATGCTGTCCAAAAAGACAATAATAGGTCTACAATGAAAGCTCAAAGAACCAAACAATACCAAAAATCCGTCCAATTTTTAAATTTAAACCGTTATTATCACGTCTATTCAGTCTTGCCAATAAATGATTATATAATTCGTGTATAATATCTAGCGTCACGTGGCTAAAGTCACCAGGACTTTTCGTTATTATAGTTTACTGTTCATTAACAACAGCACTTTCAATAAACACGTTAAAAACACTACCTTTGTTTTACAAACATATGTATTCTAGATATCAGAACTGTAAAATTTAAAAAAACACATCATTACATTTTAAATGTTTCAAATTTATTTCACAAGAAAACAATATGATTTACTTCACAAAACACATCTTCACTCAACAAGATATTTTCCCAGCAATTACGTTTTTTTTCAGTACAAAGAATAAATGAAATTATCTACAGCTTCTTCTCAGAATAAATTAATAAAAAACTCTGTTAGCTAAATTATTTTTTTCCCTAGTAATCAATCACTACCTTCTGTCTTTTTTTTGCCTATATTTGATAATCTAGTTTGGTATAAATTTTACTTTTTCAAATATAAAAACAAACAAATGAAAAAAAGTTCAAACAAATCAAGAATTCATCAGTAATAAATAAAATTATAGAGTAAACAATTGATTAATTTTGCAAATGAAGTTAACATGCTAGCCGTTTTTGCACTCACAGTCAGTAACCAAAACCTAACTGATCAATCACAGTTCTACTAGAAAATCAATAGAAATAACCTTTCAGTCAATAGTTACATTACAATGTTTAATGAAATAATAGAGATTGCAAACAACAACCAGACAGTAACTTAATATATTCATTTACTGATCCTTGAAACTACAACTGGATCAAGTTTAAAAGTTCGAATTTCTTATTCATCAATCAGTTATTGATTAACAGCGTAATGGTTTTGCAGTTTTTTTCCTGGGAAACGATATTTGTTTGAGTGATAATTGTAGAGAGAATCATTGCAATGTGGAATCTTAAGAAATGTATCATACTCTCAGTAACTAAATTTAGCAAAACTACATGTGTATTTGGTCTACATCACATACATTTTAATAGTCTTTTATATGGTTCAACTGTCAGAATTATATATTCCAGTTTGAGCATTAGATGGAATAAATAGTCGAATGAATTAAACTAATCAATCATACTCACGATTCCATGAAAATCATTGTAATGATCTAAAAGAATCGTTTAGTGTCGAAAATCCAGGAGACCATTTCTTTCGTTTATGGCCCTAATCATAGCTTATGAAATGAATAATTACCAACAGAACTAGTGGGCAACTAGTAGGCAGTAGTTTTAATTAAAATCTTTTCTTACTGAATCACACTTAATCAAATGATAAGAAAACAATTTTTTGAAAGATTTGTATTTTACGGCTTTCTTAGCTATTATCTAGAGTGATTGCTAAAATTTTTATTTACTATCTTGTTAAATGCCTCCCAATTAATATTGGCGCACCTACGATTGAGGAGATCAGTATAGCCATCAGACAAATCAAGAGCGGCAAAGCAGCAGGACCAGACAACATTCCAGCAGAGGCAATGAAAGCAGATGTGGAAGCAACTGCGAAAATATTTCACATTTACTTCAACAAGATTTGGGATGAGGAACAAGTACCATCAGATTGGAAAGAAGGATACCTTATCAAAATACCAAAGAAAGGCGATCTCAGCAAGTGTGAAAACTACAGAGGCATCACTCTTCTTTCAATACCAGGCAAAGTCTTCAACAGAGTATTGTTAAACGGAATGAAGGACTTCGTAGACGCCCAACTTCGAGATCAACAGGCCGGATTTCGTAAGGGTCGATCATGTACTGACCAAATTTCTACATTACGGATCATTGTGGAACAATCAATTGAATGGAACTCACCACTCTACATCAACTTCATCGACTACGAGAAAGCATTTGATAGCGTGGATAGGAAAACACTGTGGAGGCTTCTTCGACACTACGGGGTGCCTGAGAAAATAGTTAACATCATACGGAATTCTTATGATGGATTCAACTGCAAAATCGTACACGAAGGACAGCTAACAGACTCTTTCGAGGTGAAGACCGGTGTCAGGCAAGGTTGCTTACTATCACCCTTTCTCTTTCTCCTGGTCATCGACTGGATTATGAAGACGTCAACATCTGGAGGGAAGCACGGTATCAACTGGACAGTTAGGACGCAGCTGGACGATCTGGACTTCGCAGATGATCTGGCTCTTCTATCGCACACTCAACAACAAATGCAAGAGAAGACGACCAGTGTAGCAGCAGCCTCTGCAGCAGTAGGTCTCAACATACATAAAGGAAAAAGCAAAATTCTCCGATGCAACACAACATGCACCAACCAAATCACGCTTGATGGAGATACCTTGGAGGACGTTAACACCTTCACATATCTTGGCAGCATCATCGACGAGAAAGGTGGATCGGACGCAGATGTGAGGGCGCGGATTGGCAAAGTGAGTGCTGCATTTCTACAGTTGAAAAATATCTGGAACTCCAAACAACTTTCAATCAAAACCAAAATCAGGATTTTCAATACAAATGTCAAGACAGTTCTACTGTATGGGGCGGAAACATGGAGAACTACCAAAGCCATCATTCAGAAGATACAAGTGTTTATTAACAGCTGTCTACGCAAAATACTTCGGATCCGTTGGCCAGACACCATCAGCAACAACGAACTGTGGGAGAGAAGAAGTCAGATTCCAGTGGAGGAGGAAATCAGGAAGAAGCGGTGGAAGTGGATAGGACATACACTACGAAAAGCACCTAACTGCGTCACGAGACAAGCCCTCACATGGAACCCTCAAGGCAAAAGGAAAAGAGGAAGGCCAAGGAACACACTACGCCGAGAAATAGAGAAAGATATGAGAGGAATGAACAAACATTGGACAGAACTGGAGAGGGAAGCCCAGGACAGAGTTGGTTGGAGAAAACTGGTGGGCGGCCTATGCTCCATTGGGGGTAACAGGCGTAAGTAAGTAAGTAAGTAAATGCCTGAGTTTACAGTTGTACCCATAATCTGTTAAACTGTTCCAATTATTTATTGATTTCTGAATCTGATGGGTTAAATTGTTTATTACCTGACTGTGATGAATGTTCTTTTTAAATTAATTACAGACATGTAAAAGTCAACCGAGCTATTATAACACAATTTGAAGTCAAAAATAAGTCTATAGATGCTTAGGAAATTATACTTGTCTTTATATGAGTATTGTTATTATATTTATATTTTTAATGATATTTTCTGTATATTTCAGACATTAACACGAACACGTGGTTCAGTGGGACAAAATATATTTGCAGCTCCACCCGGTTGTGCAATCGCTTATGAACCTCATTTAGATGCAGATAGTGGAGATTCAGGAAGAGGTCCATCTGAGGAAGGCAACCAATTTTTATTGTCCGATAATTATCGAAGTAAGTAGGCAATGCAGCATTTAAAACTGAATTATTAAACCCAACATATTTAAAATAGTAAGTATCAAAAACACTTATGTAAGACGAAAAAAATATACTTTCTAATCAATTTTCTTCAGGTTTTACAGGTATTATTTATCCAAACTGATAATTCAAAAACGTGGTAAGGTTTAGGGCAAAATAAAATGACGAATATACAATTATCGACTTGAATAGGCTTAAATGAAATTGTATAACTACGCATCGGGTTGTGAGAAATAATAATGAATAATGAGATTTTGAAATTCGATCAGTTGTTTAGTGTTAGGCTATATCATATCATAAGTTATAGAAATCCAGTGAGAAATAATGAAATGAAATGAGTGTTAAGTAAATTATGCATGTTTTACAGAGATTAAACCAGTAATAAGAAGAAGTCATATTATAAACACGATATATTTTAGAAATTAATTTAAAAAAACAGTAAATATAGCCACATTGTTTCACAATTCATTTTATACATAATTAAATAATCTGTAATGTCTACAAAAATCCCAAAATATTAAACAGTGAAAAGTCACAGATGCATACACCTTAACACACAATACAACACGATTTTTTTTGCACGAACAATAAAAATAATACTTTTAAATATTTCTAAGGAAACATGAAATAGTTATCAAACACCATCAATTCTAGCCATAGTTGTGGCTGAAAATGATTATGGCTTTGTAGCATTACGATAAGACTATCCGATGGAATGATTATTCTGCACAGTTATAATTTGTCTGCTTACTGAAACTTCCTGTGTGTATGTTAGTTAATATTGTGTAGACACATCCTGGCCTATATATCACATGAATACCATAAATGTTAAGACAGTAAGTATTTCTTTTAAAAATTTCATCATTTTAGATTATATTAATCTGAACAAGTACGATATCAAGTAGTTTTGTGTTTCAACATGAGATTATTACTACCGGTGTGCATTTAATGATACAGTGATCACACTTTTACTAGAATTCTGTGGACAGTGAAGGATAAAACAATTCTGGACCACAGTCAGGATTTACAACCTTGATCATGCAACCATTCTAGTTGTTCAAATAACTTTTAAAAACCGATTTTGTTTTTGCCCATCTTTTTGTGTTGTTTTTTATTTATTATATCATTTGAAAACTCGAACAGATTTTTTTTTACCAAAAAGAATGAAACTGAAAGTAACATTTATTTTTGCTGTTGTTCATTAAAATAAAAGATGATCTTTCATTGGAAAATTTTGGCAATTTCCTATCTAGCAAAGGTGTTTGTTTTTGCGTCACAATTTCAAAAGTCAATTGAATTAAATCATGTTGTTGTTTTGTTTTTTTTTTCATTGGATAACTTCATTTGATAAGGAAAAATAGAAAGCATTGTTATCGAATAGGAGAGGGAACACTTCTAGTAACTGATTAGCTTAAATAAATCAAATTATTTGCTATTGTGTAAATAATGATGATTTCATAATTAGATAAGAACGTTTGTATTTTTGGACGAGGATTAGTTTATTTTTATGTTATTGCAAATAACCTGGTTACAAAATAATCCAAATGAACATACTTGTACATATTATATTCCACAGTTCACAATGAAAACGATCAACATACTGGTATATATATATATATATATATATATCCAAAACCACATTGTGTGGCGCATACCAAAGATTTAGCATCTGCTAATCACAGGTTAAATTCAGGGAAATATTGTCAGTAAAAATAGCTACTGTGATAGGAGCTCAATTTGAAGGAAACGAAATCTAAATAATTTGTTATTTAACTTTATTTAGTACAAAAATGTTTAAGAAAGCATTATGAAGGAAAACAAGGAACTTTTTTAGACTATCTAGTGATCATCTTCTTGTGCTGTTTGTTCTTGCATAGAAAAATCACGTTTTTGTTCATTCAGTTAATTGTGATAATTTTTAAAGATATTTTACGGTTGAAGTGTACAAACCTAGGATAATACATCAAGAAAATACAACAGAATTTTGAATACTTATACAGTAACTACTGAAGATCCGTACTAAACATTTGATGTTGTTTTGTTATGCGATAGAATTCACCCTAGTTGATTTGAATCATTCAGTCATTATATTGGATATCCTCATACATCAACTGCTTCATATCATCATATATAAGCAATTGTTTTAGGGAAACGCCTTCGACTTTCAGTAGTGAACATTTACAGTTGTGATCAGGACGTGGGATAACACCTTTAGATTGGTAATTATTTTTTTTTTACCAATTTTATTCATTTATCGAAATTACCAGCTCTTGTTTCATGAATATCTGTTTACTTATTTATTTATTTTAAACAGATGTAAATGTATAAATATATCCTCATAAACATATTGAATTGCATCTTACCTTTGAATTCAGATGGCGTGAACATACCTGGACAACATGGGGCTTATCAGTATAATATGTATTCTGGATATCGTCCAAGCAGTAGAATTGGCTATTACAGAAATCCCAGTTTAGATAACACAGGAAGTTTGACTAAAATCCATTCAGTTACATGTCAGAATCCAACACCGGGTGATTCATGTGCATGTTATATAGTTTCTGATAATGCTATCATTCATCCAGTAGCTCAATATGGAAATAATAATGGTCCATCTATTGCTTATTATCCAGAAAATGCATCAACTCAAAAAATAATGCCATTAAAAATAGAACAACAGCAAATAGAGCATTCACTTGGTGAATGCAGTCTACCTCCTGTACCTCCACCTAGAAGTCCTCAAATGCCTTCTAATGTCACATTGCGTAAAACCTACACAACAAATATGCCATTAGGTCTCTCAAAATATAATGAACTTTCTACAAAAATGAATTCAAGCACTTCAGGTTTATATCCTCATTCGGAAAATGGTCATGAATTAATACATTCAACTACAAATTTTGATCATAATGGTTTTCATCAATTAGACGATCAATCGGCAAACCCAATTCAAACACCTCTTAGAATTGATTTACGAAGACAGTCTACGACAGATTATACTGCATCAGAAAATGATTATGATCCGTCATTGAAGCAAAATCGATTGATAAGAAATGGTCTAAGTATTGGTTTACCTCCTTTAGCTAGTAATAATGCATCAAATCAACCAGTCAATATTCAACATACACAAACATCGAACCCTTTATCAAATCCAGAACTTCAGTTAACAGTATAAATAGCAATATTCATGTATTTGTTGTTTCATGATCAAAAAAAAATAAATTCATTTCAATCTTCTCAAAACTCAAACCTATTTCACTGTAGCAATCATTTACCTCTTGTAATATCTATTCAAGTGAAAAGATTTCATTGTATCGAAGAATTACCCTGTACTTATGCTTTCTAGTAAAGCTAACGAGAAAAACAATTTATGAAGTGTTATGAAGAAATTAATTATTCACGAACACAAATACACACTCACCAAATCCATTTGATAGTGAATATGTTTCTTTGTGAATGATTTATTACCGCTAAAAGTATAATGTCAAAAAAATAAATAAACGAAAGATTTTATTTGTCCTCAACATTTTTCGCTTCTTCTTAATTTTTTTTCTTTTTCAAAACCATATGAAGATAACATACATATGCAAAACAAAAACAACTATTTTCACCTTCATTTTCTCCATAAAAACGAAATGCGAACTCAACACTAAACACTAGACTATCCAATTAACTGGTTTAATCAAAACTGCATGAATCGTTATGCAAGATATATATATATATATATATATATATATATATATATATATATATATAAATATATGTGAAGATTGCTTCGATATGTATTCTGTTGACGCTTTTTCCACAAAAAAGAAATCATAAACAGAAAACAGAAAGTGTCAATCACCTAACAATTTTTAAAGAAAAGAACATGCAAAAGTAACAACTAGACTAACACGACCTCTAACAACAGTAATTATTGAAACACTGGCAATGACTAATTCGTAATTGACACAAAGTTTATCATTTATGCTTAAATTTAGAACTAGAAAAAAAACGGGTAATAAGTGAAGTGAAGTTTTCTTGTTTAAATACACTCGAAAGTACTTATTACACTGAAAATGTCAATTTTGTTAGACACCTTTCCTGATAAATTATATATATATATATATATATATATATATATATCGATATAATATTTCACAATCATCTTTGTTTTTGTTTTCGCAAAAAATATATATTAGGGCAAAATAATATTCTGCTGTTCTGTAATGATCAGTTAATCTGCATTAAGACATTTCATATGACTACAATTGTAGTTGACCTTTTGCACTTGAACTGTTTCTTTCGCGCTCTCCTTAGTGCATGTAACCTTGAAATAGTTTCTTTTTTTCGTTTTCTGCATGTCTGATAGGTAAAACATATTATTGACTAATTAAAATTACTTTGGTATACGCTTATTTATAACATATACAAATATGTACAAACGATTACTTTCTTCTAAAATACACACTTCTCGGAATATATAAAAAATTTATGCATCAATTGTAAATAAACTTATTTTGAAATGTTATTTCAGTAGCAGTTTATTTTCGTCAAAAAATATAATTTATGCACTTATTACATTTTCATGTTTTTTTTTTAATAGCTTGTAAACTAACTGATTTAGTAGTGTTAAGATGACAGTTATGGTGACAAAATGTCATGAGCTCGAAAACCATTGAAATTCAAGCGAAAATCGATGCTTATTGTGCCCTAGTTGATACATTTACGATAACTCATTTTTCACTAAAACGGTCTATCGAAATAAATTATTCAAATATAAACATCAGAATAGATTTCTTACATTTCAAATCTAACTACCGTAATTGTTAAATAATTGGTATTTTAAGTTCTGTTATATAATACCAGTTTTGACTAGAGGTAACTGTACAGTTGACATAATAAAGAGGAGTTGTGTTATCGTATTTATAAGAGTTTCTAATGAATAACTGTATACAGTTATGCGACAGGTTACTGTTAAATAAATGTTTGCGAAAAATCAACTCCCTAAGGAAACGTCAGCCGATAAGATCGATAAGTGCATAACATTTTCCTGAATCTGTTTCTATGAAAAAAAGGGAAATTTAACTAAACAATCGAAAGAAACTATTGAGTTTTATTGAAACTATGAATCGATCATTGTTAGACCAACATTAGAAACCTGGAGGCACTGGACGGCCGTTATTTTCTAGAATGAGACTCATAAGCAGTGTACATCCGAGACCCCAGATCATGGGGATCGAACACAAGAGCTTCGGTCTGGTGCGCTAATGCATAACTCCTAAACTACTGAGCCGACATTCACTGGTGTTAATATCGAACTTCAACCAATCCACAGTATTTCACGAACATCAACCACTCTGATTGGTGGGTAACTGCCTCACACACGAAACGGTTGAACTATACTGGTTATCATTACTGACTAGCTTCGTGGGGAAATTCTCGAAGTTTTAGTGAGAAGCCGTGTCATGTATGTGGCAGTTACCCAAAGAAGACTATGGATGATGGTCAAGCAATATTGTGGATTGGTTGAAACTAAACATCAATACCTTTGGATGCTGGCCCGATTGTCTGGAGTTTAAGCGTTCAAGTACGTGACAGAGTGTCTTGAGTCCGATCCCTAAGATAGGGATTCATGGATGCACAATGCTGATGAGTCCCATATTAGGAAGAGACTCTCGTGGAGTGCTTCCAGATTTCTAATGTGTATTCTAACAATGATCGATTCATAATTTTAATGAGATTAGAAGAAAGTCAGATAGTACTAAGCTTTAAGTGATAAGAATAAATATAACTAGCTCCAAAGTTCTTAAGAAATAAAAGCTTTCAGGATTACAATAAAAAAAGAATACATTCTAACGTATTTAAAAATCTGGCCCCTGTTGCCACAGCTTAATGATCTGTAGCGTTTTTGAATGTGTTTTATCGTTAATTAGACAGTAAGGCGATATAACACTAAAAGTAGCATGCACTTTGTGAGTAATTTATTCAAATTTACTTACTGAAACAGTTAAACATACAGATGTACACCAAGACACACTTCGCTAACTGTTAGAGAAAATGAAGTTGTACAATATAACTTTAAAATATGACTATTCAGTCACCTGAATATTTCTATACAGGTGAAATGAGTTAGTCATTGGATATTCCACAGTCATCGTTAACTTTCCATGAACTAAGGTAACCTGATTCTTTGATCGAACCCAAGAACCTAAAGCTCATTCTCAAAGTGATATTTAAAATAAATTTGTCATTCTAGTCAAGGAAGTCAAGTTTTATCTTGAGGTGTCATTCACTTATGAGAGACATAACGTTCCGCATTACACTTCAGCTACTACTCTAGTTGTGTTAGTTTAAATAATCACTAATCTGTCAAAGCACATTTCGGTAGTAAGAACATTAACCATTTAGTCTAATTGAGTTCCACTCCTTTACATAAAATACCTGTGGAAATTTGATGTGGATTGAAAATTAATACTGATAAACCTGAACTCACAAGTGCAGGAAATCAGATATATGAACAAAAGATGAGATTCCTCCAACTAATGAGGTTGTTATTCAGTGTAATCTCTGTGAATTCCTTCTGCATTGTGCGATATACCTCGAACATACTAACATTTAATTCCTAACATTCTGTAAAATAAAAATGAAAATCAATACTTATCTATGTTAGACTTGGTGGAAATCAATCATTATTTCAGAACTCATAGAAATATTTACTAGTCTTCTTTCAGTACACATTACCTTCGGATGAATTGAAAATGTCAACTTATCGTTTCTCTCTTATTACACCAATAACAATTAAATCAAAGTATTGTAGATAAAATACAACTGATTTAGCTTTGTACCATGAATCATTTCATAGATATTATTAACGATTTGGGTGCAAAATATTGATTGTACACCTCTAGAACAAAAGATTTACTAGAGATCTAAATACTTTTTGTTTAAATGAATACACTTCAACTAGTGAATATTTTTTAATCGACCGGAAATCACGTTGAAAAGTCCTTGAATGTTTGATAGTGAATGATAGAACAACAGTTAAATATGTGTACACTAGTCTAACCGAGATTCCAAAATAATTCGATGAAAATATGTAATAGTTAAGTATTTTTATTCATTGAATCGAGAAATTCAAATATTGACTTTTATCCTAGTTATTTTTTATCGATTATTTACTGTAGGCATAAAGCAGCAGTAAATATCTTCACAAATATTTTCACAAAGAAAATAAATGCATAATAACTAGAGTATTTTTGAAACTATGGTATATTTGCTTTATTTATTACCAGAGTTTTTTTGGAAAATTAAAGGAATGTACATGAAAAACAGATTATTTACATTATTATACTCAGAATCCTGATTACAATACAAGATAATATGGCATGAAAAACATAATTCGTAAACCATCCCAAGTAAATCTACAATATATAAGCTATAAATTTTCTTTGATGAACAAGTATTTTTAGAGGCACCAAAAAATATGCTTTATTTCATAAATTATTATGCAGAAAATGATCTCACCTGACTAACCGATTAAAACATAACGTGAATAATGCAAATAACCAATCTAAAAATATGTATACAGTGTATATAGAGTTTGCATTGAATCCAAACAAGCTTCAATATCTTATTGATATGGTCGATGCTTAGTAAAATTAGTTCTTTTCATAATTATCAACAGAGTAAAGTTAACCATGAAGTAAAAATTAGCACGTAAGTCTGCTTTAATAGAATAAAATTCAATTTATTAGTAATAACTGGGGAAATGTGCATCACAATCTCAATGACTCGCCTTCAGTGCATTTATTTATACTATATTTTCATAAATATTTATGAGATAAGGTAGTTTTATTTTTTGTACGGTCTTCGGGTTTGTCCCTTCAGTATGTCTAATCGACGCTTCTTAGACTCAAAAGGCACAACCTGTCGCAGATGGATTCCTGTGGCGTGCTCTTGCATTCTGCATTTATATGGACTAGATGGTTTAATTCTTACTCGCAGACCGTGGCATATGCGGTCATATCCAGGTGTTTGGGTACCACGTGGAGGTCATTGTGAGGCAAAACAACCTATACAGGTACGTTTTTTAATCGATTCTTGTTAAACTGTCTTTCCTATTGATAAAATCTATTGTACCAATATTCCGATATATTTCACTTTGATATATGAAGACTAATAATCCTATTG